CTCACCAAAATCTGAATCTGTTTTGCTCTCACAAGCCCCTCAAGATGATTTTAGCTCTAATACCAATTGTAAGTTTTTGCAGTAAAGTAAAAGAAAAGAACACAGAAAATGCAGAACCAGAAACTTTCAGAACAAGAGCTTCTCTGATATGGAGCTCTCTTTTCATTTCAGATAAAAATCACAAGGCATAAGAGTTGCTGAAAATATAAGCAACTCGTACATATCAGTTTTACAAAAGAAAACTACCAGAAACCATAGACCTTAACTGCAGAAAACTAAAAAAAAACAGTTACAAATTAAAAAGCATAACTGATATCTGCCAACTTCAACAGTTCAAAATTTCTGCCAATGTACCAGCCACTGCCAATCCGCTGGCGGAAGAGCCTTCAGAGATTGCGTCGAATATCAATTACCATGGGCTGTACAGTCCTCATTTTTCTCCCTTCAAGTTCGAGTCCGAGCAGGCCTACTATGCCACTACGGACAGCGGTGGCGATCGCCTCATTAAGGTTTATATGGACTTCTCTATCATTAATCTTTGGCTTTTGGAATCTTGATGATTTGAGCAATAATCATAGCGCCTGTAACTTGTAATCATTGTCTGTAGCAATGGAATGAGACCTACCTTCACTTTCACAATGTCAATCCTAAGCAAGCATACTACTTGCCAATGGAATACCTTCAAGGACGAGCTTTAACTAATGCTGTGGGGAATCTGAACATTCAAGATGCATATGCTGATGCTTTAAAAAAGTTGGGACATGAACTCGAGAATATAGTTGAACAGGTAACCACACTTTTTTTGCTGCCTTTTCATTTAAGATTTGATTCACCATTCAGGTTTTTACTATTTTCGGCTCTCACTTTTGCTTTCTAGCATCCTTAGTAAGTTTTTCCGTAAACTGTTAAATGGTATCATCTTTTCAGTTAAGGGTAGTATTTGCAGTGTCAAACACGAACATTGTATTTCAAATGGATCCTAATATGAGTCTTTTCTTCAGTTTTAACATGCATTGTCCTGGCCTATGATTGTAAACTTTGCAGGAGAAGGATGCAGCTCTTGGAAATGGTGGTCTGGGAAGACTAGCTTCATGCTTTCTGGATTCCATGGCAACTTTAAATTTGCCTGCATGGGGTTATGGCTTGAGATATAAATATGGGCTTTTCAAGCAGCATATTACCAGGGAGGGCCAAGAAGAAATTGCTGAGGATTGGCTTGAGGTTCAGTTTCACGTTTGTTTTGTAATGCTATCTATTTCTTGAACTACATTGATGCTTTGTTTTGATGGGAACATTTCAGAAGTTTAGTCATGCAAAGTTTTGATGGGAAGTTGTCAGGCATGACGTAGTGTTTCCTGTGAGATTCTTTGGTCGAGTGGAGGTTAATCCAAATGGATCGTAAGTTTAATTTAGAGTTAAATAGCCTTATTAACTTCAGTAGTGCTTGTATGTCCTAGTCTTAATGCCTTTATCTACATCCTGTTTTCCGTAAGGATATACCATTCATCAAGTAATATTTGTTGTTTATATTCAATACAGCCAAAAGTGGGTTGGAGGAGAGGTTGTGCAAGCACTTGCTTATGATGTGCCAATTCCAGGATACAAAACAAAGAACACCATTAGCCTTCGTCTCTGGGAAGCAAAAGCTTGTGCAGAGGATTTTAATCTATTTGAGTTCAATGATGGCCAATACGAATCCGCTGCACAGCTTCATTCTCAAGCTCAACAGGTTGATTAGCAAGAACTTGCATTTCATATTAAACAATACTCTGCTGTCAGGAAACCTCTTCAATTTTTCATGTACATGTCTTGATGTACTTTAGCTTGAAGCTTACTCTGCTGTTATCATGCATCCCGGATTTGTGCTGTTCTATATCCTGGAGATGCTACTGAAAATGGGAAGCTTTTACGTCTGAAACAACAATTCTTTTTATGCAGTGCATCACTTCAGGTTGGTTGTCAAAATTATTGCTGCATCTGTCTTGTTCAGCTGTGATTTTTACATTTCAGATTCAAATTTTACTTTTATTCATGTGAACTGAGATCTGTGGTTATAAAATAGAATAACATAGTTTTCATAAGTCATTCATGTTATCATTTTATTGGTTCTAATGCTTCAAGAAATTACAGGTTGCTGTACAACTAAATGACACCCATCCTACTCTTGCAATTCCAGAGCTTATGCGACTGCTAATGGATGATGAAGATCTTGGTTGGGATGAGGCTTGGGATGTGACAACAAGGTGTGTGGTTCTGTTTCTGAATATCTTTTCAGAGCTTCTCCTGCATAATTTTTATTTTGGTAACATATAAAAAATGATGCATAAATATCTGAACCAGGACTATTGCTTATACCAATCACACTGTCCTCCTTGAAGCCCTTGAGAAGTGGTCACAAGCTGTAATGTGGAAGCTTCTTCCTCGTCACATGGAAATCATAGAAGAAATTGACAAGAGGGTATTCCCTTCTCTCTCTGATCCAGATTTCTATATTTAATTTTCCATTTCAAATATCAAACCCATCTCTGCTTGCAGTTCATTGCAATGATACGTGCCAGCCATCCAGACCTTGAGAATAAGCTTGCCAGCATGCAAGTCATGGATAATAATCCTCAAAAGCCAGTTGTGAGGATGGCAAATTTATGTGTGGTATCTTCACAAACGGTAAGAGACCAATCTATGAAAACTAAAGGATGAAATCCTTGCCATTTGAGTCAATCATAGGCTTTCTCTCTATAAATATTAGAAGAAATTTAAGTAGATCTTCCACACTGAGGCAAGTGATTTTAAGAGCACTCATATTTACTTAGTGTCAATTATTCTGTGACATGCCGTTCTTTTTCTATTTTGTTTACTTTTCTTCCATGAATCCTTCTATTTCCTATTCTGAGCCATTGAGCAATTTTAAATGTAGCCTTGAAAGTTAGATAACATTGACAAATCTTTTTTCAGGTAAATGGTGTTGCCCAGTTACACAGTGACATCTTAAAGTCAGAGTTGTTTGCAGATTATGTTTCTATATGGCCTACCAAGTTCCAAAATAAGACTAATGGCATTACTCCTCGTAGATGGCTCCGCTTTTGCAATCCTGAACTCAGTACAATCATGAATCATTACCAAATGGTTAAAACTGATAAATGGGTCACCAACCTTGACCTACTTACAGGTCTTCGACAATTATGTCTCAAAAGTTTAGTTTCTAGAGTATGGATTCTTAATTTTCTCCCCTTATGAAATTTTGCCTTGCTAATGTGATTATATAACTTTCAACTTATGGCTTTCCAACAGTTTTCTGATAATGAAGAGCTCCAGACTGAGTGGGCATCTGCTAAGATGGCCAACAAAAGGCGTTTGGCACAGTATGTACTCCAAGTAACAGGTGTAAGCATTGACCCAAACAGTTTATTTGACATACAAGTCAAGCGAATCCATGAATACAAGAGACAGTTGCTCAACATTTTGAGTGCAATCTATAAATACAAAAAGTTAAAGGTATAAAATGCATCACAATTCTTGAGATTTTGTCGATCACAACTTTTGTTGAGATGGAACTCTTTACCAATCAGTTTTTTTTTTTTTTGTAGTTGTGTTAGTAAAATTGACCAAAAATTTATCATTATCCATCTATCCATATCTACCTTGCTACTTTTTGTATGTATATTTCGAAGGAAATATGAACTTTTCCAGCCTTGAATTTGTATAAAATTTTGCAACATTTAGTAAAGAGAGGTAGAATAGTTTTTTCCATTTTAGCTGCACTGGTGTAGCATAGTTTGCTTTGGTAACTTACTAACTTATTGAAACTGGATTGTTGTACGAAATGAGCACCCAGGAAAGGAAAAATACAACTCGCCGCACAATTATGATAGGAGGGAAAGCATTTGCAACATATACAAATGCTAAAAGAATAGTCAAGTTGGTGAATGATGTTGGTGCAGTTGTCAACAATGATCCTGAGGTCAATACTTATTTGAAGGTACTTTGTTTTATTTTTTGCCACTCCTTCAGTTATTGACCATTG